TTCTCTCTCTCAAAATAAAAAAAACTTATAGGAGAGATGAAATTAACCAAAATCAAAATGAAATGTTATGACAAAGACAGGCAAAGAACACAAGAAGGAGGAGGGGGAGGGGGAGGAGGGAGAGAAGAAGAAGAGGACAAGGAAGAAGAAAAATTAATAATGAGAAAAAGAAAAAAATGTCACCAGGCTAAGAAAATGTGACTCATCAGCAAAGTATAACCTACACTAACTGCATATAAAGGCATCCCTCTGAGCGCTGCATACACGTTAAAGACATCAAATAAATACAGAAGTATATTTTATTAATAATTATTGACATCCATTAGTTCTGTGAATGTTATACCAGGTACATCAGGTTTAATCATATAGTCCTTTTGTTATCTCTTAGCCTTTCTCTTTTCTTCCATATTTTCTCACACAGGTCTTAGCCAATGTGGAAGTTGGAAGAAGAGGGCAGGAAGGAAAAAAGGAAAGCCATCCTTTCAATCAGAGGATGATCTTGTCCGTCCCTCACTCGCTCATCCTGTGATTGCCAAGCCTCCCAGATAACGGCACTGGAGGACTTTGAGAGCTGCAGTTACCTGCTCTTCCCTCCCCACACTTCCTTCTTTCCTGGGATCAGGAACATAGAGTCCGGAAGTACACGGGCCTTCCACTTTTCCATCTGGGCACACCCTCACCCCCTGCTTCTGACAATTCAAACCTCAGCACGCCTGCCCACTGATCATAATGCCCACCTCCAGCAAAGAAGGCAATATAGCCCCCTTTTCCATTGTATACTTTAGGAAAAATGGCTTTAAAACTTGACAATTTTTCATCACTATAAAATAAAAAGGGAAATTCACTTAAGGCTATAGCAAACACTGAACGTGGAAAGAAAACAAGAACTCTTAACTTTCACCATCAATGCTATATCAAGATCTAAAAGACAAGGAAGAGGCAATGAGTAAAAAAAGTACAGTGCATTTGTGGCTATGAGTTTACAAAAACATTGTCATCTATTTCTAATTGTACTATTATTATTCACCAGGATAATTTTCCCTTGACTTCCAGGCTCCGATTTTTTTTTTTTTTTTAAGTTTTCAAGTGTTACAATTTTATGGACTTTCCTGGCAGAGTGGAAAAGGCAAAATGAAAGTCAGATCAAATTCCTGTAGGTGAGATTAAGCCTAAAATTTTTACAAAGGATAAAATTAACTTTAAGAGGACACTGACCGATTTTGTGATGATATGGATTGCTGTCTCATACAAAATATTTTCGAGAAAGCCTTCTGGAAATGCTTGTGACACAATGGATACAGAAAAGGATTGACAAAGGAATTGAGCCATTGGAGCCAAAACGTGATTTCATACCCAACTATTTGAGGACGCTGGTCTAGTGGGTAAACTGAACGAATGATTGTGAACAGGGAGTAGGGAGCCCAGCAAAAGGCAAAAACACCTAAGAGAATGGCCAGTGACTTGGCTAATTTCCTGGCTCTGAGCAGTTCAATATGTTCCCTTTGGTGGCAACTTAGGGAATCAGAATGGGTGAGGGAAGCCAGTTTGGAAGTGATTATAATGCCATTCATCCGGGCTCTTAAAGAGAACAAGAGACTGCTCTTTCTTTCATGCCCTTTCAAAGGAGTAGAGGGTACTGTTTCCTTCAGTCCAGGAAGAGATGTTCTTGAAAACAGTCCACCCCTGAGTGAGGATCCACAGTTACTGGGAGACACAGGAGAAGGGAGTGTGGGCTGGCTTTGCCACCGGCTGAGATTGCCACGCTTCCACAGGCTCCAGTAAATGTACGTGTTGAAATAGGCCACTGCGAAGACTGGGACCAGGAATTCAAAGAAAGACGAGATGGCGAGGATGTACCATACGGTAAAGAATCCAGGTTCACAAGCCTTCTCCTCCAAGACTCTCCAACTGGAATTCTTCCAAGACTCTGAAATTAGAATTATTGGCCCATGCACTAAGAAGGCCAGTACCCAGACAGCCACCATCTGAGCCACAATCTTCAAGATCCCGGTGTGTCGAGCTCTGTAAGATACCTAAAAGAGACCAAATAAATTATTTCAATATAACGAACATATGTTGGTTGCAGAAGGCATATCACAGGCCCTCGGGAGTTTCAGGGCTATGCAAGAGGTAGGGAAGCTGCCTGGCACTGGGTCACATGATATGGGCCAGGACAGAGGGTTCAGTTTCCGATGCAGACTTTCTCCATGACCTTCCAGACGGAATCTGTAATCCTCAAGGTTAAACCTCTGACATTCTAGAAAATGTTAAGATCAATATCTAAAATAAGAACACGATGTTCCCGACTCCGCAGATGCTAATCTGAATGGGAAAACAGCTGAAACGGAGTGCCCCTTTTCACAGTGTTTCACAATCTGCCAACTGGGTCATGATCGGCATTTTTCTTTGAATGAAATAGAGCGCTCAATGTCAGAGTGCCTCACAATTGTAAGGGTATGTACTGTTTGATGAAACTTTGGCTTTGGGAATGTAGATATACATAGAGAGAGAGAGAGAAGCGCATGTACTGAACTCCACTATCGAATGCGTTTCTCCCACGGTCAAACAAGTTTGAAAGCCACTGGCTTTCTTGATTCTAATATTCAGGAAGAATCTACTCTGTAGTTTATCCTGAGATTTCAAGGTGGCCTCAAAAAGAGAGAATTCTTACATTGCTCCCAAGAAGATGACCCCCACCCCAAAAAAAGTCTAAACCTGCTATAGAGAAATAGCATAATGTTCCTGAGCATTACCAAATCATTTCTTTCTATAAATATTTCCACTCAACAAAAATGGTGCCAAAGCTGTCGTGGTCAGCCACTTTGAGAGACACAGCCATGGCAAGTACCACAGTCTTTTTTAAAGAGTAAAGAATGTTCTAGGTCTGCTTGGTCACGAAGCCTGGCTTCTATAAGGGAAAATGAGATTCTAGGAGTAAGGATTGCTCTCAGTTCTCAGGACCCATGATCTTCAATAGATCCTGAAATCTTTAAAAATATCATCTATAAGAAACCTAAAAGGTCACCCACCCTATATGAGGGATGAACACATGAACCAAGAATTTTTTTAAGGGGATCTGGAACAGACAAAGTCCCTAAGCTTCTTTTAGGTCAGTAAGGTTCCTTCCAGCTCCTATGTTCCATATTTCTCTGATTTCCTCACTCAAGGAAAAGGAAATGATTTCCCCCATGAAACTGGAACGTGCCTCTCTTTCCACCATCTCTCATGTACTATTTTCTCTGTGAGTTTCTAAATCTCGTGCTACGGTGTTTTCTCATTTTTATTAAAAAGTACAACAATGCTCAGCCCTGTCATTCTTTGATGGATTGTGCAGGCTGGGAAGGGCTCACCGACTGGCTGGAGGTAAGAGGAAGAAGGCTTTAAAAAAAAGTTATTTTTAAAAACGCAGGGAAGTGGGGTTTTTTTTCCCCCAAATTACTGATATTTCTGAGGCTAAGCTAAAATGCATATGGTGCTGACCACAAGTTCCCATATACAATATGCTTTTTTGCCTTCTGCTTCTCATGCCACTAATTAATACATCTCTTGCACTAAATCTAATGATTATGAAGATGGTAACAATACCCAGATGGTCATAAAATTGCATTTAGTTTTTTAATTGCTCTGTTCAGCCTTTGTAATGATGTGATGCAATATGCTGGAAAGTGATCTCTTTTCTATAATGCATAAGGTCAAATGAGATAATGGACATCCAAGGGAATTGAAAAGATGATGCCCATGTCTTCATCTTTGGGTAGCATTTTTGACAGATAGCTCAAGCATTGCTTGAATCCAGGCCCAAGCCAGCTGGAGTGGCCTTCCTGACATCAATCAATGGCCCAGTACTCCACCCATGACAGAATATGTTCGTTATTCAGAATATTGCTTCTTATCCTGCTTCCTTTCTGGCCCCAATAAAATATCCAAACACTCTGTCAATCGGGTTTCTTTTATAAGGCAGGGCAGCCCCCAGAATTTGCTGGTGTTAATAATGAGATGGCAGGGGCACCTGGGTGGCTCAGTTGGTT